AGGTCTTTAATTGTTTTAATACTTATGATTATGGCATACAGCTCATGAAAACCCAAAATGCCTGTCCCAAAAAATTAGCATATTATGAAAAGGTTCTCTAAACAAGCTATTAACCTAACCATCTGAATCAAAGACGTAACTCTAAACACCTGCAAAAGATTCCTGAGGCTTTTAAAAACTCCCAGCCTTGTTCATTACTCAAAACCACAATCATGGGTAAGACTGCCGACCTGACTGCTGTCCAGAAGGCCATCATTGACACCCTCAAGCAAGAGGGTAAGACACAGAAAGAAATTGCTGAATGAATAGGCTGTTCCCAGAGTGCTGTATCAAGGCACCTCAGTGGGAAGTCTGTGGGAAGAGAAGAGTGTGGCAGAAAACGCTGCACAACGAGAAGAGGTGACCGGACCCTGAGGAGGATTGTGGAGAAGGGCCGATTCCAGACCTTGGGGGACCTGCGGAAGCAGTGGACTGAGTCTGGAGTAGAAACATCCAGAGCCACCGTGCACAGGCGTGTGCAGGAAATGGGCTACAGGTGCCGCATTCCCCAGGTCAAGCCACTTTTGAACCAGAAACAGCGGCAGAAGCATCTCGCCTGGGACTGCTGCTGAGTGGTCCAAAGTTATGTTCTCTGAATTCAGTAAATTCTGCATTTCCTTTGGAAATCAAGGTCCCAGAGTCTGGAGGAAGAGAGGAGACACAGAATTCACATTGCTTGAGGTCCAGTGTCAAGTTTCCACAGTCACTGGGGTGTCATGTCAGCTGCTGGTGTTGGTCCACTGTGTTTTATCAAGTGCAGGGTCAATGCAGCTAGCTATCAGGAGATTTTGGAGCACTTCATGCTTCCATCTGCTGAAAAGCTTTATGGAGATGAAGATTTCATTTTTCAGCATGACCTGGCACCTGCTCACAGTGCCAAAACCACTGGTAAATGGTTTACTGACCATGGTATTACTGTGCTCAATTGGCCTGCCAACTCTCCTGACCTGAACCCCATAGAGAACCTGTGGGATATTGTGAAGAGAAAGTTGAGAGACGCAAGACCCAACACTCTGGATGAGCTTAAGGCCGCTATCGAAGCATCCTGGGCCTCCATAACACCTCAGCAGTGCCACAGGCTGATTGTCTCCATGCCACGCCGCATTGAAGCAGTCATTCATGCAAAAGGATTCCCGACCAAGTATTGAGTGCATAACTGAACATGATTATTTGAAGGTTGGTGTTTTTTGTATTAAAAACACTTGTCTT